TCCCCCTGCAGCCTCGCCAGCACTTATTATTATTTGATTTCTTGCTCATGGCCATTCTTTCTGGATTAAAATGTAACCTCAGTGTTGTTTTAATTTGCATTTCTCTAATGACCAGAGGTGCTGAACATTTTTTCATGTATTTATTGTCCATTCATACTTCTTCAGGGAAGTGAATGTTGTCCAATTTCAGTTGTCTTTTTTTTTTTTTTTAAGATAAAATCTCACTTTGTAGTTCAGGCTGGTCTTAAACTCGCTGAATGGCCTTGAACTGGCTGGCCTTGAACTCACATTAATCCTCCTGCCTCCCCCTTGTGAGTGCTGCGGTTACAGGTGTGCGCCACCACCCCTGGCCAATTGTCCATTTTTTGACTGGCCCTTCTCTGCGGGGTGAGGGGATCCCAAGTTTTTTTTTTTTTTTTTTTCCAGTTCTTTTTATATGCTGGATGTCAGTCCGCTGAGGAATATCTGGCAAAAAAGTTTTCTTATTCTGCAGATTGCCTCTGTTTGTTGTTTCTTTTGCTGTGCAGATGCCATTTCATTTGATATGATCTTGTTTGTTGATTCTTGATTCTGTTTCTTGTACAGTGGGGTTCTGTTCAGAACATCCTTGCTTATCTTAAAGAGTTTTCCTATTTGATCTTCCAGCAGATGAAATGTTTATGTTTTAACATTTAGTTGTTTGATCCATTCTGATTTTAATGTCTTCCTTCCTTCTCTCCTTTTCTCTCCCTTCCTCGTTCTTTCCCTTTCTCCTTCCCCTCTTCCATCCTTCCTTTTTCTTTTTCTAAACTTTGAGACAGGGTCACTTGCTCTGTGGCCCAGGCTGACCTCAAACTCCATCCTCCTGCCTCAGCCTTCCGAGTAGTGGGGTGACAGGCCTGCACCACCACACCCTGCTTGCAGTCTGTATTTTCAAGAAGCCCAGAGGATTCTTAGAAGCCAGCCCAGCCAGGCCACAATTTGGCAGGCTTTGCTGAGAGCTTGACACAGAGTGGTAGTAAATGTCTGCTGAGTCTTGAATATAGGGCTCTTTCCACACAGCCCCAAAGATTAACATTGAAAGGAAAGGAAAAAAAAATCCAAATTTACTTAAGAACCTACAGTCTTTCTAAGCAAAATGGGAAGGGAAAAGCCCTTTTGAATTTGTGCAGAGATAAGGAGTTGCTAGACAAATGTAACCCATTTGTGTTCAGACAGAAAGGAAAGAGCCCAAGGTGACCTTTGGTTTCAGAGTAAATACAGTGGCTGAAACTTGGATAAGACTTTCCCGGTTTGCTATTTTATTTTATTATTATTATTATTATTTTGGCGGTACTAGGGGTCAAACTCACAACCTCGCACTTGCCAGGCAGGCGCTTATGCCACTGAGCTAAATTCCCAGCCCCTGTCTGCTTTTTTAAAACATTTGGGGTAGTTGGGATTTTAATCATGGAAGCAACCCTTTGGCTGCCCCTGGATTGTCACTGTAGTGTTTGACCTGTGTCAGGTTATGAGTTTGACTGCTCGCCTACATTCTTTTCTCTGGCTGACCTCCAGGGAAGGAGGTCACTGGGGTGGGGTCGGATCTCTCTAAGTGACATCCCCACTGTCCAAACACAGTTGATTCTGCCTCCCCCACGTTCATTACTAGGCTGGGCCTGGCACATGCCTGTAACCCCAGCACTCAGGAGGCTGAAGAAGGAGCATTGCTGTGAGTTCAAGGCCAGCTGAATTATATTTTGAGACCATGTCTCAAAAAAGAAAAACCTAAATAAAAAAGAAATTCATTACTTTTTGTCTCTGATTTCTCTCTCTCAAAGAGATCAGCCTTCATTGAGATGTAGGTGGCATGTGTGTTCTTCAGGATTAGAGATCACTGTGGAGTTAAGTCAGTTTTTCTGTAATTTGTGAATTTGCTGAGTTTCTAAATAGAGGGGCATTGTTGCTGGACTTTAATAAACAGAACTTTTCTGGGTATTGTAAAAAATACCGTGGAGACGATAGAGTGCTTATAACCTCCAAATCGATCAATAAAAATGGTCAACAAAATACATGTACTGCGTGCTAAATGTTTGCAGAGTAATTAATCATCAATAATCAGAAGGTTAAAAGAGAAGGATGTGGACAATAAAACATCACCCACTTCAAAGCAGGTATACAGAATAGGGCATTGTATGTAAAGCATTTTACCACCCTTGAGAGATCAATTTTGTTGTACCATAATAAGCTCCTTCTGCCAACACCATTATAGAAAACTTTATTGACACCCGGATCGTACTAAGCAGTACATCAGAGGAAAGAGTTCAAAAGTTCGCATCAAGAGCCTTCAGTCTGTGTGGGACCAGGCTAGGAAATAGGCGTGCACTGCATTTGTTGTGTACAAGAGGAGACCAGTGCTTTGACTGGTTTGCAAGACCAAACGTAGGCCTTTACTGAGGGTTGCAACTGCAGCTATTCAGATTCTGCACAGCAACAGCCATGTTTTTGGTGGCCGCAGTAGTAGAGACCTACGTGGCAGTCCCTGTACCACACTCTTCAGGCACAGCCTGTGGCATTTCCCCCTAGTTTTTCAGCTCCATTGTCTACATACCTAATAACAGCTGCTGCTCTCCATAAGCTCTTCCTGAGAGTCAGACGGCCATGGTGGATGCTGTTGTACACTAAGTTGGCAGAAAGTCTCATTACAGCAAGGACTTTTCACTGCCAGTCACAGGTGTGACTCTAAGACTGGGTCTTCATAGGCCAGCGAATGGTCCGCATATTGGGCAGTGGTGTGGGCTTCCCTTGATGGAGACTTAGTATGGGCAGGCATTGCTCTCGGCGACAGGAAATGTCTATTCCCCAGTGCTAAGATGGGCTAAGGGCAGAGCTTACACCTGGCTGCTCTAGTTACTGCCCCTGATGGTCCCATTCCTTGAGGTCACAGCGTAATTGCCTCTCATGAAGACCTGGCAGGCCAGTGTTTAGCACCTACCATTCTATCCTGGCCACTTCAGGAACCCCCCATATCTGGGGGCCTGGAAACATCTATTTTAAAACCTCAGAATTCAGTAGTTCTGCTCAGCCTTGCTTTCCTAGCTAGCAGCAGGGAGGCCACTTACATCAGTAGCTCCAAAGTGGCTGATCTAAGAGAGGCTGCCTAAGGTTATTCGGTTATAAGGTCTGTGATTCTAGGACTCCCCACCTTTTTCTTCTAGAGAGAAGACAGGGGACACATCTAATCAATGGCAGGGTATCTCACCTTTTGCTACTCTAGACAACACTGCAATGACAAATCATGTGTGATGTACCATTTGTGGGTTCACACCTATGAATGTTTCTTTAGAGAATATCTAGATACAGAGTTACAAACTTGAAAATATGTGGACTTTGAATATTAATAGTTTCTGTCAAATTGTCCTGCAAAAATCTTGACTCAAGCCAGGTGTGGTATTACAAGCCTGTAATCCAACACTTGGGAGACAGACTGAGGCAGGAAGTACTGTGGATTTGAAGCCAGTCTGGGCTACATAGTGAGTTCAAGACTAGCCTGAACTATACAAGACCCTGTCTCAAAAAGAAAAAAAAAAATCTTGACTCAGTTTATATTCTCACCATAAAGAGTTTCTGCTCAGGCCAGAGATACAGTGCCTGCCTTGCAAGCAAGCGGGAGGCCCAGAATTTGATTCTTGGTACCAGAAAAGAAAAAGGAAAAAAACAAAACAAAAGAAAAGATCAAAAATAGTCTGTTTACACTGTTACTGACATTTTTCTTGACATTTATTATTTTTCACTTATGCCAGTCTAATAGACAAAAAGGACAGCAATGTGTGTATGATTCTGATTACTAATTAAGTAGAGTATCTAATGCTCTTTGGCTATTCCTATTTCTTTTTCATACTCTGTGCTCACTTTTTACATTTAATGTGAGTATACTTCATGTTTCACGGTTAAAGAGTATGCTAGTTATAGATTTTTAAAATTTTTATTTTAAGGAAAATAAACCAAACCAAATAAAACAGAATAAAGCTAATCAAAAGAAAGCAGTGAGAGAACTGGGGATTTAGCTCAGAGGCTTAAGCACCTGCCTGGCAAGCGTGAGGTCGTGAGTTCAATCCCTGGTACCAAAAATAAAAAGAAAACAGTGAGAGTGATACAGGATTTCAAAACAGGGTAATAGGAAATCAGCAATGGCTACAATAATACCTCTTGTTATCCTCAAAATTGCTGCCCATATGATCACACATAATAAAATCAAAACAGAACAGAATAAAACCAATCAAAATAACATTGAATAAAACAAATCAACAAGATGGAACAAAACAAAATGAGAATGAAAACAAGACAGAAGAAAATCCCCCATAATTGCTGTATTGCATATTGTTATCCTCTTAATAGATGCTCAGACTACTGGCCTACTTATAGATTTACTTAAGAAAGTTTCTCACTCTTATTTCTAGTTTCCAGAAGTAATTTTTACAGAAACAGATGTTGACTTTTCACAAATGTTTTTCTCAGATATGTTAAGATGATTATATGCTTTTTTGCCTTAATATATTAATGTAGTGAATTACACAGATTTTCTAATGTCAAATTAGATTTTATTCTTGGGGTAAACTTTTTGATTCACTATCCAGGGTTGCTAGCTGCTCCGTTGGGTACCAGTCAGCCCATCCACATGGTAGCAAGTTGTGCAGTGCATGGTGGTGCACGGTGGCTCTGAGATGTATTATGGAGAAAAAAATGTGGCTGTGTTTAAGATAATTGCAGTTATGATCATTGCACCTCTGGGATAGGAAAGACTGACACCTACCTGTACAGTGCATTGCTCTCCCTGCCACCCTTCCTCTTCCTTTCTCTCCCCTCTCCTCATTTTTACCCAGAATTATGGTGGTGTTATAAAATTAGTTTAGAAGCTTCCCATCTGTTCCTGTGCATTGGAATGGCTTATATAACATGAGCATTTTCTGTTTGTAAAAATTTGTAAGTCTTTACTTATAGCAAGTTAGGTCTTATGCATAGATCTCTACCTACTGTTTGTCTTTTTTTTTTTTTCTGTCTTTTTCTTTTTTATTGGTACTGGGGATCGAACTCATGACCACACACTTGCAAGGCAGTGCTTATGCCGCTGAGCTAAATCCCCAGCCCCTACTGTTTGTCTTTTTGTCTTTTTTTTTTTTTAAGTACTGTTGATTGAAACCAGGGCTTCACACTGAGCTACATTACCAGCCTTTTTCTTTTAAATTCTTTTTTTGTTTTATTTTTTAGACAGGGTCTGGCTATCTAGCTGTGTAGTTCAAGCTGGCCTTGAACTTGCTGTGATCCTTCTGCCTCCGCCTCCTGCGTGCTGGAATAATAGGCATGCACCACCATGCCTGGCCATGTCTTTTTTTTTTTTTTTTTGGTACAGAGAATGGAACTCAGGACCATGTGCTTATCAGGCAGGCGCTGAGCTATATCCCCACCCCCCATGTCTGTTTTTTAAAGGTTAGTAATCTGTTCAGGTTTTCTTCTCAAACACTTTTTATTTTCTTAGAAAACTGATCATTTCAATTTGATTAATTTCATGCTGTAAATTCATGTCATAGACTTCTTGCTTTGTTCTAAACAAAGGCATGATAAATATTCTTTTCTCTTTTTTGGTACCCGGGATTGAACTCAGGACTGTGCACTTGCAAGGCAGACACTTATGCTACGGAGCTAAATCCCTGGCCCCCATTATTTTCTTTTAATTTAAAGAAAAAAAAAAAAAACAGAAAAAGTAGAAATAATATATAATTTCAAAACAAAATAAACGATAAGAAATCAGTAGTTGATAAATTACATATTGTCCTCTTAAAAATAGTTGTTCAAGTTACAAAAGTAAGTCATACAAGTGACTAAGTAAGACTGCAAACAGTTCTGTTCAACGATCCAACAAAAACTTAGTAATATGGTTAACAATCCTACACATTTAAACATACATACAGTTATATCCTTTAGAGCACTTTCTTTTCCTCTCTTTCTTACAATAGCAATTTCACATTTAAGGTTATGTTACTACTACATTTCTTATTACTTTTTTACACTAGAGACACAATGTGATATTTATAAATATGATTCTTATTTATTTCACTAATGAGGATAGTCTCAAGTTGTTGCCATTTGCCTATGAAGGCCTCAAGATCATCCTTTTTATAGCTAAGTAATATTCCATTATAGAAAAATACCACTCTGCAGTTGATGGGCATCTTGGTTATTTCCAAGATTTATATATTACAAATTGTGCTGCTATAAACATGGGTGCACATATATCACTGTGATATGAGCTCTTCAGTTTTTCTGGGGAAATACCCAGGTGGGGAATAGCTGGATTGAATGGAACTTCCAATCCTAGTCTTCTGAGAAATCTCCATTCTGATTGCACAGTGGCTATACCAGTCTACACTCCCACCAACAGTGGAGCAGTGATCCATTTCCCTGCAGCCTCGCCAACAGTTGATTTCTTGATGGCAGCTATTCTTTCCGGAGTGAGATGAAATCAATGCTGTTTTAATTGGCATTTCTTGAATGACCGGTAATGGTGAACATTTCTTCATGTATTTATTGGCCATTTGTGTATCTTCATCTGAGAACTGTATGTTCATCTCAGATGCCCATTTTTGGAGAGGGTCTTTGAATTTGGGGGCTGGATGTTCTTCAATTCTTATATGTTCTGGATATAAGTCCTTTGTCTGAAGGATTGCTGGCTAAAATTCTTTCCCATTTTGTGGGAAATATTCTTTTAAAAATGAAAAAATATAGCTATGCTGTACTATGCACAGGTGCATGCTTATAACCCCAGCTACTCAGAAAGTGAGGCAGGAAGATCATGGATTTGAAGCCCTCTGGGAAACTTAGATCCTTTCTCAGAAACTGACAAAGGCAGCAGGTCTGGTGGCACATACCTGTAATGCCAGCACTCTGAGGAAGGAAGATCACTAGGCCAAACCTCTTCTGCACAATTTAGCAAGACCCTGCCTCACAAAATAAAAAATAAAAAGGACCTGCAGTATAACTCCGTGCCAAGCCATGTGTTCAACCCTTAGTACCATTCAAAATAATAAAAATATAAAAGGCTGATGTAGGTTACTAGTGAAGTGTTTGCCTGGCTTTTCAAAGCCCTGATTTCTGTTCCTTGTGCTACAGAAAAAGGTTGCCTCTCTGTGCACCAGGGACGGAACAGAAGCTGTGATGTGAAAAGAGAAGCTGAAGCCAGAGCCTGATGGGGACTAGTTTGCAAAAAGAGAGGAGCGTGTTCTCTCTGCATTCCTCCAGGATCTGCTCCCTCTCTTCCCCTCCCACTCTCCTGGTAGTGTAGCTTCTGGTTTCCTCTTTCAGTCTGATCCCTTGACCTCCATCCTCAGGGATTCCTTATAATTCCTGATCCCTGAGGGCACCCTGTGTTATCACCCTAGGCATAAATGGGTTTTATTTTAACATGAGTCATGTTACTGGGCCTGTAATCCCAGCATTCAGGAGTTTGAGGAGGTAGGATTGCCAGGAATTCAAGGGCAACCTAGGCTACAGTGAGTTCAAAACTAGCCTGACCCTACAGAGTAAGACCTTATCTCATTAACAAAACTTATATGTTTATGTATATATAGGCAAAAATTGTATACATCAGGAAAAGAAAAACTTGTATAAATATTTTAATACTAAACTTATTGAAAGGTTGTGAGATTAGTACAAATTAGCTTTGGCCTCTATAATTGTAAGAGGTGCTCAAAGTGGTGATCATTAGCTTCCAGACATTATTAGTATAGTGAACTGCTGAACTGTGTATACATATTTTTTTTTGCTGTCTGTCTCTGTCTCTTTATATATGTATGATTCATATCATGTTTAGGGGTTCAAATTAAGGAGAGGCGTATGACAAGTTTATCATAATGGTGTAAGTTCCATATACACAGTCTTCTACTTTGAGCCAGAAGCCAAATTAATAGTAAGTTATAATAAAAATCACAATTTTAAAAATTAACATTTGAACCTGGGCAGTGGTATGTCCCTGTAATCCCAGCACTTAGGAGACTAAGGCAGGAAAATCACAGGTTTATGGCCAGCCTGGTTACACAGCAAGTTCAAGCCCAGCCTGGACTACATAGACAGACTTTGTCTCCCAAAAAAAAGAACAAAATGTCTGAGTGTCTATCATTGTGCACTTTAATTACATAAATGCATTTTCAATATAAAAAATTCAAGACAGTACTTAGGTTTTGGAGTAAGATGTCAGTTCTGGTCATCTCTGCCCAGCACTTGCACTCCTCCCTGCAGAAGGAGCCCACACTTAACAGCGTTGTGGATTATATGCCCTTCAGGCTTTTATGCCACATTTACAAGCACTTATATCTAATTTGTGCATTGCTTCATTTATTCTCAGAGTAACCAGAAGACATTAGTTTCATTGTATAAAAGGAGAAGAACATGGGGGCCTGGGAAGCTTAGTTAATGGCCACAGTGAATTAATCTGAACCCATGTCTTCATTCTTAAAAGTGCCAGGGAGCTGAATTCTTTGCCTACTGCAGGGAGCTATTTCCCCAGCCCTAGGTGTGTCTTTTGAGGAATCCAGCACTGCTGTGGAACGCATATGGAAAGGAGCCTTGCTGTGTGGCTTGCTTCTTAGAAGTCCAGATAGTAGTGATGGCACACATCTGTAATCCCAGCACTCAGGAGGCTGAGGCAGAAGGATCACTGCAAGCTCAAGGCCAGCCTGGGCTACAGAGTTTAAGGCTAGCCTGAACTATACATAGTGGAACCTTGCCTCAAAAAGGCCCCAAACAGAAAAACAACAACAAAAAATGGAATCCAGATGATGTGAGGGGGTTCAGACCATCTGAGGTGGGGCTGAGGCCTCTCAGAGACTGGAGTAAGGCGCATCCTTGCCTGATCCTTTGAGTTTCAGGGAACCATCATTAGGATTACAGCTCTTCCCTTTTGCTGGTAATTCCAAGCCCAGGACAGGGGCATCCTTAAATTCCTCCAGGGAAGGTTTCCTGCGCTAGGGGCTCCCGCATACCCATGGGGAAATCTCAGAGGCCTGCAGCTGTGGCTTCTGCAGGACCTGCAGCTGGAGCAGCAGAGGAAGTGGTCTGGCCAGGGTGCTGGGCAGGTGGGCTTGCCTTGTCTTGTTCTCCCTTCTTCACCAGGGAATTCCCCATGGGACCGCCACCGAAGCCAGGAAGTGAAAATTCTCTGAGCTATTTATTTTAAGTGGAAAATGAGGGGTTGGAGCTGGTTTCACCTTCCACTTCAGGCAGCGCCTATTGGAATGTCCCCCACATGCCGCTGGTCACTGCCCTGGAGATGGCTAGATCCACACTGGTGTCCCTGGCAGGGCTTCTCTTCACTACACAAAATGCTGAAAATGTAGACAGCCCCTGGAGGATCGAGGCATCTGTCTCCCCTTAAGAGTAGGAGGAAAAGGCCACAGGCACTGAATGCGTTTGCATTTCAAGTACCAAGTGAACCTCAGAAACCAAGGCCGGCTCCCCACCCACCCACCCAGCTCTTCACAGCAGTGGGCCGCAATAGAGATTCTGATTTGATACTGGATTAATTGTGTGTGCAGGAAGAAACTCTGGTTGCCTGTGATGCTTGACTGTGGGTGCAACCCCCTGCCCCACCCCGGTTCCCTGGGAGCCGCTCCTGGGATCTTCTGGGCTTTGAAGCTGGGCCCAAGGGGGGCTTACCTGGACCTTGCTGCTTGCAGGCACCAACTGACCTGGAGAACGTAGTAGGTAGGGCCAGGACAGAGCTGAACTTAGGTTTTTGCAGACAGCAGAAGCCTCCTGGGTGAAAGGAGAGAGCCATTTATCCTCCAGCCATAAATTTCTAGGCAGGATTTCACCAAGGGTCTGCAGGTTAAGAATAGGTCATTAGGACTCATCTTCCCTTCTCTGACAGGCTCATGAAATTTCATGCAACATTTACCAGGAGCTAATATGTGAAACCGTGTAGCAGCATTATGGGGTTGGGAGTGTCGCTCAGTGGCCGAGCACTTGCCCGGTATGATGACCCTTGGGGTTCAATCCCTAGCATTGCAAACAGGGGTGGGGAGAGGGCATTCACACCCTGGGGGACACACAGTAGTGGGGGCTCTTCAGGCAGTTGGATTGCATGCCCCATCCTCCCCTGTCCACAGCAAGAGTGCTCTTAGCAGTGGCTTTGTGATGTGCAGGAGTGTGTGTCAGGTACCTTTGTGCTTGGGGACTGTTTGCTGAAGAGAAGATAAAGAGGAAGCAGGGAGATGCTTTCAATTTGCATTTTAGAGTAAGTGAAGTCTAAGATGAGTAATAGGAATAGCCTGGAGATGTTCTTTTGGGTTTAAGTTGCTACATCTGTTATTATAAAACACATCCCTGTAATAGCATTCAGACGTGTCCTAAGTATATTGCATGTGTGTGGAGGGCGGGGTACACTTCTTTTTGGCTTTTTGTTGTTGTCATAGTGCTGCTGAAGATTCATCCCAGTGCTCATCGGTGCTAAGCATGTGCTCTGCCACTGAGCTACCCCACCCCCAGTTTTGAGACCTGACTTTTAATTTTTCTTGGTCCAACATTTTAATTTAATGTTTACTCTGAATAACTGAAATTTTACTTTCTTTTGAAACGTGAACTCACTATGTACCCCTCTAGGCTGACCTAGAATTGCAAATCCTCCTGCCTCAGCCTCCCAAGTGCTGGCGTTCTAGGTGTGTACCACCATGCATGACAAGTTTTTCCTTTTCTCTTTGAACATACATGGAAATTTAGAGTCTTCAGACCTCAATTTTCTTTTTGCTTGAGAAGGAAGCTCTACTTTGGTGCCCTGGAGAGAGCTGTTTATAAGAAAGTTTATATCATACTCAATTTTTCATCTTTCATTGTCTCAAAACCTTTTGAAGACTTTTAGCAAACTATAGAAATCTTTTCCATGGGGCCGTGGGTTTAGCTCAGTGGTGTAAGTAAGTAAGCACCTGCCTGGCAAGTGCAACATCGTGAATTTATTCCCAATACTGACCAAAGGAAAAAAAAAGAAGTCTTTGCCTTTTTCACACATGGCAACCCTGAATTTAAGGTGTGGAAATTATGTTTTTCAATACAAACCTTTTTCTTACTCTAGCTGCTCTTGAATAACAAATGACGGAGGGAACACACTTGGGAGAGACAGGGTTGCTTTGCTCTTTAAAAAGTGCTCATGGGTTAATTCTGCAAAGACAGCGACATACGTACAGAAAACAAGTGAGTAGTCTGGCATCGAGGACCTCAGTACAGTGACAGTGTCTTCACTGGGGTTGTTGTCTTTTCAGGGAAGCTGTCCCATTTCTCCATCTTGTCAGGAGAAACCTGTAGTGTGTGTGTACACGTGTGCAGAACCTGACCAACATAATGCTAATCACTCAAACTACTCACTTGCTTATGAAGGAGCAGATGGTGCTGGTGTCTTACACCCATTACCTCTTTTGATCTTCTGAACCATCTCAGTTGAGATAGAAACCATCGTTACCCTTATTTTACAGTGGGACATCAGGTCTGGAACCCAGGTCTTTTCTGTCTCCAGAACCCACATCCTGAGATACATCTTTACATTCTGTGCCCAGAACAGCAGCAGCCTAGGCCCTGACGCTGTGAACCTGCTGTCCCTGTGAATAGCTATGCGTGACTAAAGCCTCTAAAGCAGTGCCCAGAGCTGTTAGCAGGTATCCCCTCTGTCTCCTCCAACACTTCGGGGGTTAGAGAACAGGCTAAGCCAGGTGGGGAGACAGAAGGGAGAGCAGCCAGACATGGTGGCACATGCCTGTAACCTCAGCATTTGGGAGTCTGAGGGAGGAAGGAGAGTTGCTGTGAGTTTGAGGCCAGCTGGGGTACATAGTGAGTTCAAGGCCAACCTCAAAAAACCTTGTCTCAAAAAAAAGGAAAGATCATACTGCACCTTGATCATCAGGCCTGCCAGCTCCTACTTAGAGAAGAGGAACCTTGCACAAGGTGGGCTGTTGTCTGGCTCAAGCTGGAGCATGGCATTCTCCAGGGTATCATTTCTACTCTCAGCAGCCGTGCCCACCAACAGTGAATCCTTTTGGAAGTGTGCTCTATGCAGGTGAGTTCTCCTGGACACAGCCTCCAAGGTACCTGCTGAGGGACCAGGATTGCTGGCTTAGAGGAGGCTTCTTTGATTTTATATTTGCAGTGTGCAGGCTTCTAAAATCAAAATGCTTATTAATCCTTCAGCCATTTGGTGAAGTTTACTAAAAGGCGCTCTCTTAAGACCCATTTCCCTCCCACCGTTTTCCCGTGAGCATGCCTAGAATGAGTTGAAGGTGTGAGGAACCGCGATTTCCTCCACCCCCATCTCACCTCTGACCACCGGCAGCTTTGTCTCTCTACCTTGGTGTGCTGTGCACATGTGATTTCCTGCGTGTACCATGGTGTGAGGAAGCCTGGAAAGCCTTTCTCCCATCCGTCCTCCTGAGGCTGGGATGGCCACACCAGGCCTCCACTGACTTTATTTCTGCCAGGTGTTGGGTTGTGGGTGATGAATCTGTCTCTGGGCTGGGTTTGAGGGTTTCTGAAGCTGAAATTAGGAACTTAACCCACACTTTAAGGAAAAAAAAAAAAAAAAAAAAAAGACTTGTCTTAAAAAAGCAGTATTTCTTAAAAATACATTTTAAAATCTTAATTTGCTTATTTCCTTTTAATCTCTTTTTTCTTCTATCTCCAATTCAAGCCTAATTTTTTCTTTCCAATTCTTCTGTCCTTCCTCTCCTCTTGGTCCTTAATTTCCATTGCTGAAGTGCCAAAGAAGTCACTAACACAGCCCCTACAGGGCAGGCGGATTGCTCTGTGCTGGCCTGCATCCAGGTTTCCTCCCAGTCCCAAAGGCCAGTGGAGCCCAGTGGAAGGAAGAGCCCTGAGGCCCATCAGGAGCAGTTCTTGGCTTCTCTTCTCTTGTGTCCCTGCACAATGCTGACAAATGCAGAGATGTTCTTTTCTCCCCCAGGAAACGAATTTGAATTCGGAAAATGTACTAAATTTTCACACAGGGCCTCATCTTTATTCCCAAGGAGGTCCTGAATAAAGTGAGGTCATAGCTTGTCGGGTAGAACTTGCCTGATTGAGATAACATGATAATGTGAGCTGGCTTAATGGCACTTGCCTATAATCCCAATACTCAGGAGGCTGAAGCAGGAGGATTTCTGTGAGTTCGAGGCTAGTCTGGGCTACATAGACCCTGTCTTAAAAAAAAAAATCATAATAACAATAACTTGAGAAAATCAAGGTGGCACTGCCCAAGGATCAGGCTGAGAAATTTCTGTAAACAACCTGCAAAGCTGGGAACTCTGGCTACAAGCATATAAAGCCCGTACCTACAGTGTGCATTCTTTAAAAGGCTGAAAAATTCTAATCACATTTTGCTCTTTTATTATCTAAAAGTTGTTCTGTTTGTTTTTCTGGTCCTGAAGCTTTGTACATACAAGCAAGTGCTGTACCACTGAGCTGTGGTCTTAGCCTGTCTAAAGAATTTTTGTTGTGGTTTTATAACCTTTACAATAGAAGAAAAAACAACAATAAGTTTATAGTTAAAAAAAAACAAACCTAGACAGGTATAGAGGTGCATACTTGTAATCCCAGTTACTTGGGAAGCTGAGGCAGGAGGATTGTAAGTCCAGGAGGTCAGCCTGGACAATTTAGTGAAACTGTATCTCAAAATAAAAAATAAAAAGGGCTGGAGATATAGCTCAGTGGCAGAGTGCCCCTGGGTTTGATCCCCAGGACCACAAAAAAAAAGGCAAAGCAAAAACCACAGGGGCTGGGGTGTAGCTCAGAGGTAGAGTGCTTGCCTAGCATGCACAAGGCTTTGGGTCCCCTCCCCAGCCCTACAAAACCCTCCAAAAACAAAACAATGAAAACCCCAGCAGCCTGTATACTTCACACCTTTATGTGGCCTTTTGATGATTTATAAAATGCACATAAGTGAGCAGATGACAGGATGCTAAATACAGTGTGGCTTCTGAGACAGCGGCTTGGGTGCTCGTCATAGCAGGACCTTGGCGAGTCTCATCTGTCTTCTCCAGGCTTCTCCTGTCTTCTCTGTCACCTGCAGAGCTAAAGAGGCTTTTGTTTTCCAGAACAAAGTGGCTGTGACCCTGACCTTTCCTAGGCAGAGTTTTCACACCCTCACCAGCTCTCTCAGGAGATCAGGAGAGTGAGGGCTGGGCAGGGGAGAGGGCCTTTTACTTGGAGGCCAGAACCTTTGCTTGTAGACTTAGGCACTGCCAGCAAGCTTCTGGGGGTGCCTAAGAGCCAGTCTCCTGGATAAAAGAGAATCTCTTTCGTCTTGGGCCTGAAAGCCACATAGAAATCTTCAGCAGCTCTGCTTTGGTTGAAATGTGCCCACACATACTGACCTTTGGGTTAGTGGTCTTTGCTGGAAGTTAGGGTTTCTTGCAGAGCTGAAGGAAGCACGGCCTGCATCCTCCCAGAGAGACAGTGCAGCGGAAACCAGGAACTCTGCGGACCAAGATGCTTCTCTGCAGCAACTTCCTCATCTCTGTTTACTTCTAGTAGCAAATAGGGTCTCTTACAAAAGCAGCTGCCCTCACCTCCAGAAAAAAAAGCAGCTCAGTCCTCCTGAAGGGCCTCAAACACCTAACCCCGGGGTGGACATCCCAGCCAGCCAGCTGCAGCAGCAGCACATGACTTTATCTCTGCAGGCTGCTGGGTGGCTTTGATTTGACTGTCAAAGGACGCATTTGCTCCCACAACCGGAGACCTACTGGGCAGAAAAAAGTGGGAGTTCAGATCTAGCTAAGTAGTTAGAGGAGGCAACACAGAAGCTGTTTTCTGGGGAAGTCGTGATCTCACTGGGGCCTGTGGCTGTCATCGTCCTGAGTGAGCCAAAGCTTCCTGAGATGCTGGCTGTTGAGAGTGGGGACCAGCATAAGAGACTTTCCAGGAAAGGAGACTTCCCATCAGCCTTCATCCCTCTGCGCCTGTGGCTGCCCTCATGTGATGGGTATGTGGCCTGCTGGGGGAGAGAAACTTGCACAATCAGACAGAAATAGGAACCTGGAAAATAACTTGGTGGGGCAAGGAGGGGATTGGGCAACAAGTTGTTGAGAAGACTTTGGGCTGTACAGAGGGGAGGGAGGAGAGCCAAGTATTATCTGAGTTGCATCTAAGATCTGAGGAGGTCTCAGGAGCTTGAGGCACCAGGGTGGTCAGGAGGCAGAAGCCCAGCCTCTTCCTCCCCCATCTGTCAGGCTGACTGGGTACAGGGCTGACTCAGAAGGATGGCACAGGGTCAGAGGTTTGAAATCATGTAGGACAACATGGAGGTTGCTGCAGCTCAGGAACCAGGGATGTCTCTCTCTTTAACCCAGAGCAGATTAAATCAGTGTTCCTTGGTAGCTCCAAAATACAAATGATTCCCCTTAAAATACAGCCCTGGGACTGCCTCAGACAGTAGATGGCTTCTGTAGTGTTTGTTGAAAGGGCTTCTCCCCAGGTGGCTCAGCAGGGAACTGAAATTTCTCAAACATTCACTTTTCCAGTTTCAGGGTGGAGGTTTCTCAGAGCGTGGGGACCTTTAGGAAAGTGAATCTCTCCTACCTTACCTTGTGGTACCCTCTTCTCCTGGGGCCTTCGCCTGTGTTCAGAGCACTGAACAGAGACTGCTCAGGAAATACAAGCCCAGAGACATGAAAATGTGGATGAGGGCTTAGCTGAATCAAAATGTAGAGTGGATTACCTGACTTTTCTTCTGCTCCTCTGAAAAGTTAATTTTAACTAAGGAATATTTTTTTTCCTCTAAAATGCTCCTCATTATAGGGACTGGGATTGTAGCCCAGTTGTAGAACATGTGGTTAGCACCTGGAGGCCCTGGGTTCAATCCACAGCACCAAGAACAAAACAAAACACAACATCCCCAGAAAATACTTGGTTGAGGCAGGGTCAGGCTTGGGTAAGAAAGTGGTGCTCTGGAGATTAGTTAAGCACCACAGCCTTGGCACCAGAGAACCTTCGAGACACAGGTCCTCTGCCCGAAGAGAGTCTGAAGACCCCAGAGCTTCTTGGATTTCAGCTGAGGAAGGAGAACATGGAAATTCATCTGGAGAATGGCTTTAAGAAAGAGCTCTGCTGAATAATGTAGTGATAGAGTAATTCACCATAGCTAAGCAGTGGAAACATCCCAGATGCCCTAGGTAAATGAAGAAAATATATATTACGCACAATGGAGAGTTATTCAGCCATAAAGAAGAACAAAATCCTGTCATTTGCAGAAAAATAGGTGAAATTGGAGGCCATCAGGTTAAGTGAAATAAGCCAGTCTCAGAAAGTTAAAAATCACGTTTTCTCTTGTATAAAGAATTTTAAAATAAATAAGTAAAGGAGAGGAGACAGAAAAGTAGAAGCCTGTCTTCTAGAGATGGGAAAGGATATAGGAAGGAGAAAAAGGGAGAGGAGGGAAGGGGGATGCAAATATCAAAATGTGTTACATGCTCGTACCATACGTGTTAAAGAACGTCCTTGTTCTGTGCCGTGTTCACTAGTTGAGAGAAAGAGCTCTGCTAAGTTCATATCAACGTCATGCTGCCTCATCAGTGGGCATCAGCGCAGGGAGTCCGGCGAGGACGCTTGCTGAGGCTTCTTGTCCTGAGCTGGATCAGAGAGTGAGCTTGGCCCGCTTCCGGAAGTGTGATCATGAGCTCCTCTAAAGGGGGAATGACAGTTGTGGTCTTCCACAATGAAGTGTCCTGCGGTAGTGACAGTAACCGGCCTAACACAGTGCCTACAATGTGATTGCTGACGCCAGGAACACGTGGGAGGCCTTTCAGGGAACTCACGGGAGGGAAGTTGGATCCTGAACTCTGTGCGCATGAAAGGTGAAGGGGGCCCCTGAAAGGTGTCCTTATTAAAGATAGGGCTAACCTGGGTGTGGGAGCAACACCTCTGATCCCAGCCGGTTTGGAGGCTGAGGCCAGGTCAAGCCCCGCCTGGACACTTAGCAATTAGTAAGATCCTGTCTCAAAATAAAAAATACAAGGAGGACTGGCAATATAGTTCAGGGTAAAGACCGTAGGTCCAACCCCAAATACTAAATAAATCAACAAATACCTGAAAAAGGGCTATAAATTCTTTTCGGTCTCTTGAGTTCATGTTGAGGCTTCACATTAGATGAATAAGTTTTGCTAGTTCTCAAAACACCCTTCTTCATGCATCCATTCTCATTCCCTGTACATATTTTTATTTGCCTGTTTGTTTGTCTTAAAAGACAAGATCTCACTTTGTAAGTCAGGCTGGCCTTAAACTGACTGTACAATGCAGGCTGGCCTTGAATTTGTGTTTGTCCTCCTGCCTCAGCCTCCTGAGTGCTAGGATTATAGTTTTTTGTTTTTTGTTTTTTTTGTTTTTTTTTTTTATACAGAATATCATCATGTTGCCCAGGCTGGCCTCAAGTTCCTGAGTTCAAGTGGTTCTCCTGCCTCAGCCTCCAACATAGCTGGTACTATTGGTATATGCCTATACACCTGGCTTTTCACTTGCATTTTTGTCTTTTCAGTTGCTTATGTTGAATTACTTATCCCAATGAATCTTGGGTGCCCTTTCCTTCAAGAAGCATTGTCATCAATTTTAGCTGGGAGTGGTGACCTCCTTAATAACATACTGTTCAGCCCACTCTTAGGACCTTCTGGGCACTGCCTGGTCTTTATAATTGACGGGTATGTCTCCAAGCTACCATTGCTAACAATCTATGCAGAGGATCTTTTTCTTTCTTTCTTTCTTTCTTTCTTTCTTCCTTCCTTCCTTCCTTCCTTCTTTCCTTCCCTCCCTCAGGGCCTTCACACTGAGCTATATCTTCAGTCCCCCCAACCCTCTCACTTTTTGAGACAAGGTCTCCCTAAGTCTCTTAAGTTGTCCAGACTGGGCTTGAACTTACAATACCCCTGATGCAGCCTCCCGGAGAACTGAGATTTCAGGCCCTTGCTACTGTGCCCACCTGTCTTATATAAAGCCCAGGGACTCTGTGCCTAATAAATAACTTTTCTAACCCTCAAGACTTACTAAACTTCCTGGATAATGTGAACTGAAGGATTGAAAAGAATAAAGTTTTCCCATCCCTTATCAACTACTTCCTGGTCATTTTTTTTTTCAAAGAAATCAAGGAATTGCAGATGATATAACATGTTTTATGTTACATCTGGGTGAAAAAACCCAAGACTCAGAAAGGAAAAGACAATTCCTAAAGGGCACAGAGCAGAACTAGAATTTGGATTCTGAGTATGCTGGTTTAGTGCCCCTTTTCTTCTGTTGGAGAAAGAGAACAAAATGTTGAAGGACTAAAACATGGGCTCACAGATGGTCATGGACCACTGTGGTGATTATATTATTTTATACATGGAGCTGGGTATTTAGCTTAGCGGCATAAGTGCCTGCCTTGCAAGTGTGTGGTCCTGAGTTTGATCTGTTTTTTACATGCAAAGGCCTTATATCAACCCTGGTACAATAAATATAATTGTTACCATCTTTATTCCTCCTCTTCTACCCTTCATTGGTACTTTCTTACTAGGGACATTAGTCAGCGTTTCATTACTGTAATAGAATTCTTGGGGCAGGCTACATTATGGAGAAAAGAGATTTATTTAGCTTACAATTTTGGAGGCTGGAAGTCCAAACAACAGAGTTCCTCTTGGCTTCATCACATCAAGGCAGGAGAACATGTGTATTTCCATGTGGTCTCTCTCCCTCTTTTTATAAAACCACTAGGATTCAATCATGGGATTCAACTCTAACGACCTGATCTAACCACTCCCCAAAGCACCCCCACATTCTCATCTAGATGTGTAGATCGGTGGTAAAGCACTTGTCTGCTATGCTCAAGGCCCTGGATTCGGTCTCCAGTGCTGCACACCACAGTCAGATTCAATTCCCACCCTCCTCCAGTGCCAGTAACATGTGGCCTGGGAGTTCGCCTCCTGCATGAGTTCGAGAAGGCTGACAACAAGTCATATTCAATCATCGCACCAGCTCCCCTCAAGTGGGAGAGAGCAGAACCCTCGGGTAATTCCGTGTGCTAGAGCATCCTTACTAGGTACCAGGTGAGAAGCTGGAAGGAAATGTAAAAGTCTGACCTCCTGGATTACTGACCTTCATGGCCTTGAGTGTTTTTGGGACCTCAGACCTAAGTTCCAATAAATCAGACCTTGGCTAAGTACTGAGTGCTTTGTTCGTCTCTGTTTTGGTGATAGGGAAATGAAAAGGAACTTTTTTTTTAAATTGTTTGCAGGACCTCATGCCCCCAAGTCAGGTGAGTCTGGCTCTGCATTCTTCAGGGGTCCTGGCCTGCCCAGCAAAGAGTGGCTTAGTGAAGGCAGTGGCCACAGAGGGTGTTGGAGTCAGGCACTGTACAGAAAACAATTAGAATCAGGACATGGAGTTTATAATATTATTTTTATAATGGTCACCAGGAGTTAACACAAGAAAATGCAGGAGATCTATTCGCAACACCAAAAACAGAATATTTAGTCAAGGGCCTAAATCCCACAGCAGTGTCCCACATGAGTTCAGATGAAAACCCAGAGCTCATGACAGTGCCTCCCACGAGTCCACGTGGAGGTCCAGAGCCCACAAGAAGGACTCACACCAGTCTCTTTTACGGATCCGTGCTGGGAAGGCCCAAAGGTCAGCGGTGGAAAGTAGAAAGTCCACACCAGCGGGGTGAAGGAGCTGTGCTGGTGGGATGAGGGTTCTATGCTGGAGCCAAGAAGCAACACTCATAATGAAGACCAGGGCTGTCCTGAAAGGCACCACAGCCATCCTCAGCGACACGGAGGTCCTGAGCTCCTTTGACAATAAGCACAGTGGGGTACATGCCAGGAAGCCAGGGTGACGAGCTCATCCTGGAGACCAGGCAGCACATGTCTTCCCCTCCGGAGCCAGGAAGCAGTGCTCGATGTGAGGACCAAAGCTTTTCCAGGAGAACCAACAGCTCAAACAGCAGCTCTAGGAGAACCCACAATGCCTCCACACAACAACGCATTAACGCCTTAATCCCTCCTTCTCCTTTTCCGCCTATTTATGCTGGCAGCTTTCCTCAGGTGGAGCATCTTCGCTCAGTGCCATGCTGATGTAATCCAACTGGCGTTAAATTGACTACCAGTTCTTAATCCATAACAGAGGTCCTCCCAGCCCTGTCTGCCTGTTAGGCTGCCTCAAGACACTCTCAGGCTGGGTCCTTGGGAGGTTGGGAGCCCACAACCACTTTCCACCGTACATTTCCCAATGCTGAACTGAAAAGCAAGATTTTCCTTCTGTTTGTTGGAGGGCTGGCATGAGAAGAGAGTGCAAGCGCTGAGGTCAGTGAGCTCCAGCATCTGCACCTAATAGATGGCAGGAGAAGCACAGGACAGGCTGGCAACTGGGGCTGCTTTCTCCCAGACAAGAGCTACAATTTGCTGCTTCTAAACACCAATTACATGCAAATTTGGAACAGGTCTAGGAGAAGGACTCTAGGAACTGAGACTGAAATTCCCATAGGGGGCTGAATCTTTTCTAGGTTTCTATTCCATTTCTGTGTCACAGCCTGATTGGGCAAAAAAGAGTGCAGCATTGAAAGCTCTCTGCTTAGCAGGGGAGCCCTGTGCATTGGGGAGTTTTTAGTCTGGGTCTGGGTGAGTAGTTAGTTAATTGGAACAGCAATTGTACTGCCCCAAATCTCAGTCTAGGATCCTGTTGCTTTGTTTGAATCTTTCCAGAAAATGTGACCATGTGACATTCTAATATTACAGCCTGAAGAGTTGTTTTGTAGTTGGTGGAACTGGCCTAGCTGAAGCATCTGTACTCTCTTATTCCAGGCTCTTTGTGACCAGGAACATTTTTTTTTTTTTTTTTTTTTTTTTTTGTACTAGGGATTGAACTCAGGATCTTATGCTTGCCAGGCAGGCGCTGTGCCACTGAGCTAAATCTAAATCCCCACCCGGAACATACTTATTCATTCCCTTTACTCATTCATTCATTAGATTAACTATTTGTGCAAAGGTACTAGCAGTGATGTAGGTCCTGCCCTTTCAGTGCTCTCAGTCTAGCAGAAGAGGCAGGCACTGCACAACTCATAAAAGCGCTGAGAATTTGGGAAAAGAGAAGCCAGGCTCCCTGGTCTGATGGTTACGGCTCTCTAAACTAAGAAGTGATATTTCAGTTCAGACCAGAAGGTATGTAGGAGATGTTCAGGGACAGTATTTTTTAAAATTTTATTTTAAAGAGAGTAAAACCAAAAAGATGAAA